AGCTCCTTTTCGTCGGGCATCGCGTCTCCCTCGTGCCACTTGAGGGACCGCTCGAATATCCTCCGTCCAATGCTCTGCTCAATCATGGTCGTGGTGTCCCGCAGCGACTTGATGACTGCCTGGCCCTTGAGCGCTTCGACGGTGAGCGACGTAGTTTGCGCCGGCATAATGATGAAAGCCACAACCGTCATCTTGCTGCCGTCATTCTTCAGGCGATGGTTCAACCGAGCCAGAGACTCGATGAACATGTCGACACCCTTGTTTCGAAACTCATAACGACCAGCAGTGAAGACGTACAAGGTATTGTCCGGGTCAAAGTCGTAGTGGCCGTAGAAGTGACCGCGGACAAAGTCGTGAATCTTCTCCTTGGACTGCTGGTGCAAGTTCTGGAATTCGTGGACGGCGGAAAATTTGGTTACGTTAAGACCGTTGGGCAGCACACCATCGGGCTTTCGCTTCAACAGATGCTCAGACTCGAATGCTGTAATGTGAGACACGGTCGTAAATACGTCGCAAGAGTGTGTGGCTGCGCGCTCGATGCAGTATCGGTGGTAGATGCCCCGCTTGCCAGCTTCAGCGTCGACGTCAAAGTGCTGCAGGTTGTTATAAAAGTCGACAGAGCCGGCGCAAAGATATCGTCCGAGGAGAGTGGCATGGGTGGTGAAGATGGTGGTGACGTCAATGCGACGCTTCTTGGTCAGGGGCAGGGCAACACCGGCGAGCCATTCGTGGAAGTGAGCAATGACGGCTCGCTTCTTTTCATGACAGACAAACTGCAGATTCCGAGCATTAGCCTTTTCATCGGCAAACCGCGAAGCTCTCTAGCTATACTCACCTCTCCCAGGAACCATGCCACCAAGTACCCAAACACAATGGCTTCGTTGGTCTCGTCGTCACCGGCGGGGGAGGGAATGCTTGCAATGTTCCATAGATCCGTCTTCCACTCGTTCATGTATCCATAGGCAGTTTTGGTATCAATGAGCAAGACTCTGGGAGCTCCTTCTATGAGCCATCGGCCGTACAGCATGCCGATGCCTCGGTCTCTCATGGCCTGCATGGTCTTGGCAATCTCTGGGTTGGTCGGCTCCATTTCTTCGACCTCGACGGCCGCCTAAAATGTGTTAGAGGCAGTGGTTGAGTCACAGGCTTCAGATACGTACAGAGGTGTGATTGAGCGGCCCAATGAGCGTATATCGATCTCCATATTCGGCGGTGGTCACGGGCGCCTTGGACTTGATGACGGAGTAGATGCCACCCACTACAAGTGAGCCAAGTTAGCAGAAGAAAGCATGGAGAAGCCGTAGGGTTGGTCACCGCACCTCTATGGGCTACCTCAGTAGCAACCTCGAAGAGGAGGTGGTTCTTGACATCTCGAATAGGCTCGCCGTCAGCCATTGCAAAGAGGAAAGAGAACGTAGAGCGGGGACGTCGAATGTGACAACAGCAGCTTGCGATGACTCCGTTGGAGCAGTTTGAGGGAACAGCAGGCACCAAACAGCTGCAGGCGGGCGGTGAAGCTGCAGGAGCACCTGCTGAGGCCGATTGAGGTGCTGCGGATGTGTAGCGATGAAAATTTAGAGCTGGCAGAGGTGTTTTACGGTTGTCGGGAAGAGCGATGGAAAGCGGGCGAGACGGCGCCAGAGCTGGCGGGACCAAAGACACAGCGACAGGGAACTACTCCGTACTCCGTAGCAACGACAGAAAACAGCAGCGCAGCTCGTCGGCAGCATGCAAGCACAACGAGCGAGAAATAGCACGGATGAGGAGTTTAAATCACGGATGCGAGCTACGGGGATAGACGAGGAGGATGAGGGGTTGCGAGCCAAGGCGGAGGCAGGGCGGAGGCGAGACAGCTCGGATACGATGTGTTGGATGTGCACGATGCTCTGATGCCATTGCAGTGCCAATCCGCCCGCGAGCCGCCTCCGAATTGCTCGGTATTCCAGTCTCCCCACGGATCATTGCCAAGTGGGTCTGGGGTTGGCTCTGGGCCCAGATCCTGGCCATTAGCACTCGTCGCTGCGGTCTGGTGCTCTTGTGGGCCGATGCCGCTGTGGCAGGCGTCAACGGTGGTTTTGGTGGTGCAGTAAACCCATAAACCCCGCCAGTCGTGTCATGGAGCTGTTGGTTGCAGGGAACCGGGACTCTGAGAATCTAGCACATGACGTCGGATTGTCATCAACTGCTGCGTGGGAGTAACACGTTTGTAATAATGACTCTCAGCTGTGAAGAAATCGCTACAATTAGCAGAAGTTGGCATCCTTGGACTGAATGTTGCGGGGCTGCGCGAACCAGAACTTGTCGAGTGTCTGACGTTGAAAGCTGAGCCGATATCTACATCTGGACATCGCAAGGCCCTAACCCTAACCCCGGGCGTGCACCGCCCGTCCTCGTGGCCTCGTTTCATAGTTCATGGTTCATGGTTCATGGTTCACCGTCCATGGTTTTTGGAGGCTGTTTTAGCACATGACTGACCCCAGCATTGTAATCCAGTCCGCAGTACTGCCATGACTACGGAGTAACTCTATACTGACTTCGAATAGCAAGTAATATGGCAATTCACCCCATCAGACGACGGGAGCAACAACGCCAACAACAGGGTTATCGGGCAACGGCAAGTGAGGGGGCTGGCCTGTAGCAGGTGACCAGCTCAGGGCCATTGTGCGGCCGGCCGGCAGCCTGGTTGGTTTTGCGCATCTGCAAGGTGCATGGTGAAATGGCGCCCATGACGAAACATTGCGGGGAGTGGCTGGACGAAGCATGAGAGCATCGCAAGAATGGCGTCAACGGGTCAACGACGGTGCACCTCCAGGCACTGAGTGTTGAACAGTCCGCCAACTTCCAAGAAATGATGCTACCTCACATTGTCCAAGCCGGATGGTGTTTGAAGGTTGGTTGAGGTCCCTGCTTCTGCAGTACCAAGATGACTGAGTGATCACTGCAGCTCAACTCCAAGTATCAATAGAAAGGATCAAGCATAAGAGAATCTTCCACATCTTGAGAGTTAGATTTCGACTCAAGTGACATATTGAAAAGAGGAAAAAGTAAATAAAAAAGCAATTCTGATACAATTCCTGCTGTCATTGTTCTTCACTGTTCTTCACTGTTCGCAGCCTCGCCATTACCCACACCTGATTGGCCATATTATCCAACGTCCCTCCCCGCTGTGGGTCTCGAAAACTGCAAGGCTGGCACTGATTCCCAAAATTTTTTGAATGTGCCGGTCTTTGTCAGTCCAGATTGCGTGGGACTCTGTCGCAGCATTTTCACCACACCATTGAGACGGTAAATCGACACGCTCCTTAAACTTTAGCTAGCGACTTCGCGAGCCGAGAAATCTTGCTTAGTGTCATTGCAGTTTGCCAAGGAGCACTTGTCGCCAAGATGGACTCCTCGCAGACCCAGGTGAAAGTCATCTTCACCACCGATGAGCAGGACTTGCAACTCCCAGAGTCCAAGAGACAATTGCTTGTCCCAGCAGGTTCGCTTTTGCCTCCTCCCTGCTACATAAACAGTCATACTTACGTATTGCAGACATCAAGCGATATGGCCTCTCTCGAATTCTCAACTCCGAGTCCATGCTGGACACATCCTCTCCAATCCCGCTCGACTTCCTTGCGAACGGCACATTTCTACGTACCTCTATCGAAGACTACCTGAAATCGAATGGCCTCTCATCAGAGACGACTCTCAGCCTCCAGTACGTCCGCAGCTTGATCCCGCCCGTCTATCAAGCCAGTTTCCAGCACGACGACTGGGTCGGCGACGTTGATGTCTTGTCGGCAACAGCCCCCGCTAGCAAAGGTGTCGACGGCGCTGTCAATGACAGGATTGCCAGTGCCTCGTACGATGGTTTAGTAAGAGTATGGAATCCGTCGGGCGAAGCGATTGCGACATCTAGTGCCGGTAGAGCTGGTGGGCACACGTCAAGAGTCAATGCCGTCAGGTGGCTATCGCCCTCAAAGCTTGCATCAGCAGGCCTTGACAGGAAAGTCGTCATCTGGGACTACTCTGAGTCAGAAGACAGCTTCTCGGGCTCGTTGAAACACAATATGGAACTATGGGGCCACGAGAAGAACATCAACGCCATCGAAGTCAACTGCGCTACGAAACGAATCCTCACTGCCTCCTCAGACGGGCGTGTCGGTCTATGGACCTCGTCTAAAAAAGCTGCTCCCCAAGCCGATGCTGAAAGCCTGCCCTCATCCCATTCCGCCAAGCGTGCCAAGTTATCCGCCGCCAGTACTACTGCTCAGCGTGGACCCTTGGCCATGATGCCCATGCACGATGACCAAGTCACTGCCGCCATTTTCCACCCACATGACTCAACTGTTGCGTACTCTGCATCTCAGGACCATACCGTCAAGACAATCGACTTGACTACGCAGAAGGAGGTTTCAAGATTGACAACTCTCCATCCAATCATGTGTGCGGCAGCACTACCAGGAAATTCGCTCGTCGCTGCTGGCTCTTCGGCGCGACACATCACCCTCCTAGATCCCCGAGAATCAGCTACCGCCACTGCAGCCATGACTCTCCGTGGCCACATCAACATGGTTGTATCCTTGTCACCTTCTCCAGATAACGAGTACTCTTTGGTATCTGGTTCACACGACAGCACCTGTCGCGTCTGGGATCTCCGCAGTGTACGGCCCGCAACATCTGAAGAGGGGTCCGGCAGCGTCAGCGAGCCAGTGTACACCATTTCCAGGGAGTGGTTAAGTGGCAAAAAGTTGCCGCCGGCTGGTGATGGTGCCAAGGTGTTGAGCGTCGCGTGGGACAAGTCGTGGGGCATCGTGAGTGCGGGAGAGGATAAAAAGGTGCAAATTAATAGGGGTAGAGGGCTTTTGGCTTCATAGATTTGCGCATGATAAGTAGACAATTCATCTTGCGGATGTGCATTTATTTCCAAATTAATTCACTGGTGTGCTTGGAGTTGTGCGTATTTCACTCGAAGAATGGCACAGTCGTATTTAGCATTATGCGCCACGTAAAAAATGTTATGTTACTTCATCAGTCCTCTCACAACTTCTCACCAAGGCACCATATCTACTACCCACTTGAACAGCACGCTGATCCAACAAGGGCAATACCTCGGATTCCAATCTCCCCCTATCATAGGCCATCTTTTCACTGACAATCACATCAAGAATATACGACACAACTGTGTTTGTTTTCAGTGGCGGATCTCTCAGCAGTTGAGCAACGGCTTCAGGATTGAGGTCCAGGTTGTTGTGCCAAACAAAGTATGCTCTTAGCGAGGTAGGCGGCGCCGATACGGCCGAAGTCTTGGATTTGCGATACTCGATTGCCTTTTTCTCGGCTGCGAGGATACGGGCATCTCGTACTGGAGGTTTGGCTGGGATTGGCGGAAAGGCTAGCAGCTCGGTTTCGAGTTCCGACCTGAAGGAGCTGGAGGAGCTGGAGGAGCTGGAGGAGCCACCTGGTAGATGACCTGTTTCCTCTTCTGGCTTTGATTCCGTCCCCACGACTGGAATCGGGAGACCTAGTTCCGCGTGGTGAGGCTTTGAGGGGCACGGGTTCAGTCTCTTGCGTTTTGCGTCGAGGACATGGTATAATTGTATCCCAGCATAGGCATCTGACGCAGAATCTGTGGCTCATTAGCATTCTACTTTTGGAGACAAAGTAGGGTGTATATCAAACTGTTTACATAAAACTTGCTTGTAATACAGGCGCTTCATCCAGTTACTCGACCGGACCACGTCGCCTTTAAACAGCGGCAACTTCAAAATGTCATGTACCTGCGTTGACAGCGCTACCGCCACCTTGTTGATGAGCTTGGGCGTCTTCGCCGCTGTGTACTTGACCTGTTTGTACAGGTGGCTGAGTTCAAAAATACCCCGAACCTGGACGTCGAGGTATTTCTTTAGCCGGGTGCAGTCACCTTGGATGTGGACGCCGACTTTGCTCACGTTGGGATCCTCCAAAATTGTGCGCAGGGTAGGAGCCACAAGGTCATCTTCACCCTCGGCAAACATAGCCACGTGGAAAAGGCCGATACGACCTGGACTCGCGATTTGGATGAGGGAGACGTTATCTCGCGGTCCGGAGCTGCGGGATGCGTAGGGGAACCACTCGAGGTCGAGGCCTAGGACTGCCTCTCCGAGGAAGTGCTTCCTGCAGACTTGTTCCGTGGTGTGTTTGCTCGTGCAGTAGTGGACTTTTACTTTTTCAATGGCCCCTTGATCGCTAATTCGCTGATACATTGTGTGTGACCAGAATGATTCGAAGGAGCCTGCTTTGGCGGCGCGGGCTGCGTGGAAGAGAGACGGAGAGATGTTGAAGCTTAGTGGTGTTGACGGGGCTTCAACGATTGCCGGGTCGCCCTCTGGGTGGGGTTTGGAGATCTCAGTGCCTAGTAATTTCTCACTTTCTCGATGAATAGTGGTGGTAGGACCTTGAGGTGGTGTTTGGGGATTTGTCGGCGCTGAGTTTTTGCTCTGTTGAGTGATGGCATCATGGCTTGGTGTTGCAAGGGTAGCCAAGTCTTGTTCCATCACAGCATTGGCGCAATAGTCAAACGGATCGTTTCTGAAATCACTTCTGATCCCATTGCCCTCGCTCGCCGTCTGCACGAAACGAGGCATATCCAGCGGAGGATACAACGGAACCGAGTTTGATGACGTTGAGAATCGAATGCCCAACTTGGGGCACCATAGCCTCTTTTCCCCGGCCACACGCAGTGGTCGAGCCATTGTTCCTATCACTCCCGCTGAGGGTGAACAAGAAAGTACAATTCCAATGATTGCAGGTCTTTCGTGGTTGCAACGTCTCTCTCGTACACGGCGGCAAGCAGGTATAAGTGATTTGGCCCTACCAACAGCCGGCCTTGTCATGAATGGCTGGGAATATGCAACGCGAAGTTGCAAGACTGCATGACAACTGCGACCAATTACCATGGCCTAGCGTACGCGGGCTGTGTTTGAGCAGGCAGCCATGAGAGCAGTTCATCAAAGGACCTGGGGAGGTTGGGATTGGCTTCACGCTTGTAGGTACCCAAGTACTACGCCCCGTCACCGCTCAATGCAGGTAGGCGCGACCGGGTCACCGGGCTTGGTTGCTGTGTTGCTTACGTAAGTCAACATTCCCACTGCTAGAACACGCACGTGGAGACAGTCCACGTCGAGGCTCTGTGTGATTTGAGTGCCCTGGTCGCTATCATTCTACAACCCTTGCTCCGGTGAAATATCCAACAAAGGCGCTAACAGACTCCAAAAAGGGGCTATTTTTTTTTTCTCTACTGCCGTAATCCAATCTTTCGGGTACGGATACGCTGGCTCGCTATCCGTAAACATCTACCATGGCGTCCCAGTTGCTGCCCCTCGGTGAGGCGTGGTGACCCTCTCAAAATCTCATATTGCCTACTGACAGGCGCGTAGAACTCATTGACAAATGCGTCGGCTCAAGAATATGGGTCGTCATGAAAGGAGAAAAGGGTATTTGCCATTACTGATCCTCTAGTCTCGAGTGTGCGAAGTTTGACACGGGCGAGGAGGCTAACTCAGAGCTAGAATTTAGCGGTACCCTCGTCGGATTCGACGATTATGTCAGTAAGTAATTTTACATCGTACATTACATCGATCTCACGCTGACTACGGTGTAGACATGGTTTTGGAGGATGTGACGGAATTGTAGGTCTATGTGTTGCCTCTAGTCGGACCCCAAGATTTTACTGACAAGTCGTCTCTAGCGACTACTCTGGAACTCACACCAAGCTGCCCAAGATTCTGCTCAATGGTAATAATATCTGCATGGTACGGTGGGACATTAGCGAGAACTTGCATACGTGCCTGGTCATGTACTAACACCTCTGCAGTTGATTCCCGGAGGCGAGGGGCCGGCTTGAGCTGTGAGAGCGGGTGAAATAGAATGCCATGTTGGCATGGAACTTCGCGTCTACAATACAACCGATCTCATCAGCGCAGCAACTGCGGGCAGTTACACAGACAGTGTGAGAAGTGAATATGCATTCATCAGGACTTTGTCGCAAACGCGCACAAGCTAGATGTGCTTGCTTCACGGTGCCCCAGATCAAGCAAATTAATTATTTTGTAAAGAGTTGGTTCTTACAAATGCAAGTCCGGTGTCGATATTCCCTGTTTCCTATTCTACCACTCCTCGAGACATGAGTTTTCCTTTACAATGCAAAACCAAATACCAGATCACTTAAAACGCCAAGACACCGCAAGCCATCTCATTTGGCTGTATTGCACCTTAGAAACCATTCCCTTGCATGTTGCCCTGCTCTCCAGTGTTGGTGATGCGACGGAGTTCCCATTCACGTGTGAATTCTTGGTGTAATGATTCTAGCTGGTTGATGAGCTTTTCGCAGACGGCGGTGAATACCTCGCGGGGAGTTTTGGTACCGTCTGTTTGGACGCGGATAAAGAGCTGAGGGACATTGGGGTGGCCGACTACCCGGGCTGTGTTAAACGGCTAATGGCATACGGGAGACTGGGCGAATACGTACGCTTGTAGCCAGCCATGTAGACATTAGGGTGAGCCTTGATGTGCTCAGAGAGGAGGTTACCCAGCGTATGATCCTCCTTGTTCAAAATAAAATCTGACGTGTTGGACATGCCTGCTTGACGTTAGACGTGCGATATGGGCTGACATGACTTTTTCCGAGCCCACACACCAGAGTACACCTTCTCCTCGATCCTCTTCTCCCCTTCGCTCAGCAAGAAGAGCTCGAAACTATATGTCGTCAGCCATATGTTGGGTAGATAGTGCGGTTAAAGTGCACGCAACGGATCATCTTGGATGTTGAAGTGCTTTGGATTGCAGCCGGTCATGGTGAGGTGAGAGAGGACAGAGATGCGCTGAAGGGATAGAGCGTCGTATGTTCGCAGCACAATTTCGTTCGTCTTGAAATGATCGTCTTGAGATCAAGTTTTCAACATTCCTCATGCAAGGGGACTGCAGCCCGACGAGACCAGTGAGTTGCGTGTGTGTCGGCTCGCAGCTGTCAGAGACGCCAAGGGCCGACAGGCAGGTGACACGCCGACAGCTCGCTTGAAAACTTTGACTCAAGAATCGTTTCGCAGTGACTTAAAACTCCCAAGCCGCAATACGCCGTCTTGTTTGTTTGGGGGGGAAGTGCGACGGAGCAAACAGTCCTATCCATGCTCCCATCGTCCAGTTTCGGCACTCGCTGACCGGCCACAAATGTGTTCAAGCATGAAAATCCTCGAAGGTGTCCGGTATCATCCTTGGCTGGAAAGTTTTCTTTCAGACTTACCGATCTGGCGCGTTCATTCTGTACTCCGGTCTCCAAAACCCAAAACGTCAATTTCAGAGTGAACGTCCCGTCGTCGAATAAGGATGTGATGAGACACCCTGGGGCCTGGATTGACTCAACTAATTGATGTCGTAGGCTTTTACGAGGCGATGTTGGAATACTTGGGAAAAATTATATATCCAAAAAAATATATATAACGGCGGCGCCGTGGTTCACAACAGTCAGATGCGATCGTTGAATCACAAGGCTTAAAATGGGAACCATGAGCTACAAAGCCACCAGTCAAGTCATTGGCGCAAATGGGTATAACTCGGGTAAACTCCCTCCCAACGCGACTGGGCATGTGGCGCTTTTACCTGAGACGAGCCGCATCGCCCAATCGGCCCATATTTTCTCGTCAGTCTCGAAGGATTAGTACCTGTTCTCGCATTCTTTTTGGACTTTGGTTATTATTCCTCAGTGGCCAAGATTCTGAATTGTCCGGATCATGTAAAGCGGCCGGTCAGTGCCACGACTTCCACCATGGCTTCTCCAGCAGGCCAAACAACGCTCCCCCAACCTGGCTGCTTTGATTCCTGCATGTCGCGACATCCAATCCGCCAAAAATGAACTCCGCTGGCTCACAGAATATGTGAGGGAGACAACGACGCACTCAGACAGCAAGGCTCAACGACTAAGGTTACTATGCCAGCGGCGACGTCGTGGTGTGCCTCTGCAGTATATTCTCGGCTCGCAGCCTTTTGGACCACTGGATATTAAATGCAGATCGGGCGTGCTCATCCCTCGCCCAGAGACAGAGGCCTACACATACCACCTTGTAGATCTGATCAAGACGGGGGAACTTTTGGGTAGCAAGTCAAGCGATGATAATGCCGAGTTGAGCATAGTTGACCTTTGCACGGGCACAGGCTGCATTCCTTTGCTTTTGTATACTCTGCTTCAGTCATCTTTTCAACGCTTGCGTGTTCGAGGAGTTGACATTTCGCCCCAAGCAGTCGGCCTCGCAAAGCTCAATGTCTACCATAATGCCAAGCTAGGCAATATTGCGACTTCTCAACCTGGTCAAAAGCTCGATATCTTGAGGGGTGACATCTTCAAGGACCAAGATGTTGCCCCTATAGCCCAAACCCCATGCGACATATTGGTGTCAAACCCACCATATGTCTCTCAGAAGGCCTGGGATTTTGGCCAGGGGCTTCTGGGATGTTCTGTTCGCAAGTACGAGCCGCGCTTAGCCCTTGTCCCAAATCATGATTTGCCTGTTCCAACCGGATGGCTGCACGAGGATGTGTTTTACTCTAGACTCCTAGATATCGCCATGTTACTAAAACCGAGAGTCGTGCTTCTCGAGCTGGGAGAAGAATCACAAGCTCGTCGTGTACTGGGCCGTTTATTTCAACACAGAGTAGCAGAGTTTGCCATGGTTGAAGTTTGGCGCGATTGGCCAGACCTGAACACGGCTGACGGAGAAGCAGCAGACCTTGTTGTGGAATTGAATAATATATCTCGAAGGGTTTCGGCTAAAGGACGCGGCCAGGTTCGGTCACTTCTATTGCGCCTGCAATGGAATATTTAGCTTTGTCGATAGTCTTGGAAGCAACAACTCTATTTGATAAATTATTCAACAATTCTTGATCAAGCGTCCATCTTGTCGCGGTGTCTCCAAGTTGAGGATAGTCCAAAAATCCAATGCGTTGCGTTTACGACCAATACTAGCCTCAACACTATCAGTATGCGCAAATTTGAGGGAGTTAACTCCCTTATTAAACTGATGACTATCCCCACACTTGAATGTCCTTTTCTTTTTTATTTGTTTGCCACACTACGACGATTTTCATGTCTCTGTCGTCACCACATGGTGCCTACAGAGCTACCCTAGAGACCCACAATTTCGGGATTTTATCCACGTGACGCAGTTTAATTTCTGGCTCGAAGTGGACTCATTACCAGAGGCTCCGAGTCTTGTATTGCCGTCAACCCTTTTCCACGTAGCGTTGGATTTCCCTCTGCCTACGCCACTGTTGGGTGTGTTCCCCTTGAATCGAACGCTGCTGAACTGTGGAGGACTGGTCTACGCAGCTCATGAGATAAGGCGCTCTTCGTGTAATCTTTCCTCACCAACTCCGGTGGTTCCGCTTCCTGCGACAGCTCCGATATGCCCAACATGTCAAGATATCTCCGACAATCGAGCCAGCTGGCGCGGCTAGCCAGGCTCTCGCAACAATCCAGTTTTCACAGGATTCTACGACTGCCCGCAGTGTCACGGTCGATTCCCACACGGACACTCCCAGGTGCCTACGGCCTCTCTGTGAAGTACTACTCCTCTTCAAAGCCACCGCAGCCAGAAGAAGACTCGAAGGCGAAAAAAGACCGTACGCCCGAAATACCCAAAAACCAGAATGAATCGGCCAAGACTGGCAGAGAGAAGGATGCTGAGCCTGCGAATCTCGCACCACTTCCCGAAGGATGGATTCGATTATCAAAAGACGAAATTGCTCAGCTCGATGCCTTCCAAAAGGTTCTGCCAGAGGCTCAAAGAGCCACATTGAAGGACATTTTGCGAGGTCTGCAGCAGACTGGTGCTCCTGCCGAGGTCCGTGACTTGTTGGCCAAGATGCGCAAAGGTCCGGGCAATTTGTCGATACTGGACAAGGGCCGACTGATGCGGTGCGTATTCATGATGGCTGAGCGTTTGGCTGAATGGGAAGTTGAGGAGCAACGAAAAGGAAACCGAATGTTTGATCAGAACCAACGACCGGACCAAGACCAAAACGATGGCCATACTGGCAAGAGTGAGCCCGAATTCGAAACACGTAATAAGAAGTCGGACGAGAGCGGATCACATCAGCAGGGACCTGGAGGCCCCAAAAAGCCCGAGCGAAATGGTTGGATGGACGCTCTGCAGACAGGTCTAGTTCTCGGCATCACACTATGGGCTGTTGACTCTCTCAGCAAGCCGTTCTCTGAAAAGGAAATCACCTGGCAGGAAATGCGGAGGGCTTTCCTAGACAAGGGCCTAGTACAGAAAATGGTTGTGGTCAACGGCTCTCAGGTTCGTGTCGAGCTGCACCCGGATGCTACCCAAGGCGATGCTGGCTCCAATGGCAAGAGGACCTACGTTTTCACCATTGGCTCCGTAGAGTCATTCGAGAAGAAGCTTGAAGAAGCCCAGGATCAACTCGGCATTCCTGCTTCAGAGAGAATACCCGTTAGCTACGAGACTGGCGGCAGCACAATTGGTAACCTTCTCTTGGCCTTTGGCCCAACCCTACTATTCATCGGTCTCATTTTGTGGACTCAGCGATCCATGGGCGGCCGGGCTGGTGGCGGTGGCATGTTCAACTTTGGCAAGAGCAAAGCTAAGAAATTCAACGCCGAGAGCGCTGTCAAGGTCAAGTTTGCCGACGTTGCTGGCCTGGAGGAAGCTAAGACGGAAATCATGGAGTTTGTCAGTTTCTTGAAGCAACCCGAGAAGTTTGAGAAGCTTGGCGCCAAGATTCCCCGGGGTGCTATTCTGGCCGGCCCACCAGGTACCGGAAAGACTCTCCTTGCGAAAGCTACTGCGGGCGAATCCGGGGTTCCCTTCTTCAGTGTGAGCGGATCCGAGTTCGTCGAAATGTTTGTCGGAGTCGGTCCTTCCAGGGTGCGAGACTTGTTCGCTGAGGGTCGCAAGAACGCTCCATGCATCATCTTTATTGACGAAATCGATGCTATTGGTCGTGCGCGAATGGAGAGCGGACGTGGATTTGGTGGCAACGATGAACGAGAGGCTACGCTGAATCAGATCCTGACCGAAATGGACGGCTTCAACACTCGTGAACAAGTTGTCGTGTTGGCTGGTACAAATCGCGCAGACATTCTGGACAAGGCCCTCATGCGACCTGGGCGATTTGATAGACACATCTTTATTGACCGACCGACCATGAGCGGACGCAAAGAAATCTTCAAGGTGTATCTCAAAAAGATTGTCACCAATGAAGACCAAGACTTCCTCGTCGGCCGGCTTGCCACTTTGACTCCTGGGTTTTCTGGTGCCGACATCTCCAACGTTGTCAACGAGGCAGCCCTCATTGGTGCGTACCCATACCCATCCACCTCTATCACTTGCGCGTGTGTAATTGAATGCTAACGAAGATGGCAGCTGCCCGAGGTAATGCCGAGGAAGTCAAAATGATACATTTTGAACGAGCAATTGAGCGTGTCATTGGAGGATTGGAGCGCAAGTCCCTTGTGTTGAAACCGGACGAGAAGAAGACGGTGGCTTATCACGAGGCTGGCCATGCCATCTGTGGCTGGTTTCTTCGCCACGCCGACCCTCTTTTGAAGGTCTCTATTATCCCTCGTGGGCAGGGTGCTCTTGGATATGCGCAGTACCTGCCTCAGGATGCTTATCTGATGAACACCAACCAGCTGATGGATCGCATGGCGATGACCATGGGGGGTCGTGTTTCGGAAGAACTCCACTTTCCCACTGTGACGACTGGCGCAAGTGACGATTTCAAAAAGGTATCACAAATGGCGCGAAATATGGTGACCCAGTGGGGAATGTCTGACAAGGTTGGACCTGTCTTCTTTGAGAACGACCCGAACCGGATGCAGAAGCCGTTTGCTGAGGCAACAGCTCAACAAATCGACCAAGAGGTGCACAGAATTGTGGATGAAGCCTATAAGCGATGCAAGGACCTCCTGCTCGAGAAGAAGCGCGAGGTTGGGCTTATAGCCGAGGAGCTGCTGAAGAAGGAGGTGCTTGTCCGGGACGACATGGTCCGTATTCTGGGTAAGAGACCATTTGAAGACAACAACGAGGAGTTTGAGAAGTACTTTGGAGGGGGCAAGGAAGAGAGCGCACCGCCGGCACCATTCCCTATGGACGAGACGGATACACCAAAGGAAGAGCCTCCAGCTCCGGCCCCAGCCTTCAGCCAACATGCTGACGGGCCAAGGTGACGTGGGGTTTTTTTTTTTCGAAGACGAAGGCAATTTTCAGAGAAGCGACAGGGGTTACACAGCAGCAGAATTTTGATATGCTGGAAACTTGATGCGGCCTGCGGATTGGCAGATGTAAATGGCTCAGAGGTGTGACTGGGCTCTCATGTCTGGAGGCCTTGCTGGTTATTGAGCGGCAAGCTCGAGCTGACTCAAGGGACCTTTTCTCTCAACTCTTTCCATCTATAAAGAAGGCATACCCGACCTTTGTATATCAGCATAATAGCGCGTGCTGGCTGGCGCTCATGGGGACGGGAAAACTCTTTTTTGTCATGTAACAACTGTATGTATGTATGTATACTTTAGGGGGGGCTAGAATAGAATCGTCCTTGGGGACGTCAATGGATAGCATATGATGAGTTCTCGGCCAGTCGTGGCGACCTGGCACAATCCTGCCGGGCCAAGGTGCGTTGGGTTTTTTTTTTTCGAAGACGAAGGCAATTTTCAGAGAAGCGACAGGGGTTACACAGCAGCAGAATTTTGATATGCTGGAAACTTGATGCGGCCTGCGGATTGGCAGATGTAAATGGCTCAGAGGTGTGACTGGGCTCTCATGTCTGGAGGCCTTGCTGGTTATTGAGCGGCAAGCTCGAGCTGACTCAAGGGACCTTTTCTCTCAACTCTTTCCATCTATAAAGAAGGCATACCCGACCTTTGTATATCAGCATAATAGCGCGTGCTGGCTGGCGCTCATGGGGACGGGAAAACTCTTTTTTGTCATGTAACAACTGTATGTATGTATGTATACTTTAGGGGGGGCTAGAATAGAATCGTCCTTGGGGACGTCAATGGATAGCATATGATGAGTTCTCGGCCAGTCGTGGCGACCTGGCGTCGGTGATGGTACGGTGGGTGGTCTTGGGCTCGCCAGCGTGAGTTGTCTGGACATGGCGAAATGCTGCATGCTGATTGGCTTAGAAAGTTCCCGGTTGTGGAGGGGACGGAGCCGAGCAACTTGACTCGTGTGATTCGCCTCTGCTGTACCGAGTATTACAAGTGTACGGAGTACCTAGGCGCAGATAAGCCTTGGAACCCAAGCACCCGTCGAGTATGTATGCACTCGGGTACTTCCCCCCTGGGTTCTTTGGTGGGTCCGATTTGACCCTTGGGAAAGTTGATCTAAAAAGTTTCCTGTTCCATGGCCGACTGGGGAAAACGACCCGCATCCAATTCAGCGCTTGGGGGTCGCCGTCATCAACTTGCCATTGAACAGCACGGGCCGTTTAGAGGATTTATTTAGCATCTTGTTTTCTTCTTCTTTTCTGTTCCACCTAGAGTATGCGTCTATAGACGAGGTTCGTTGCCGACTTTTGGTCATCCCCTTGGTTATCACGGAATATATCCGGCCCAGGCGCGTGAGGGCAGACGACATGATGATGGACGACAGCAATCGTCTTGCGGCAGGGCAGCCGCCTTCTTGGTACAAGGTCCATCTGTTCCGCGGCATGGTCAATGACGTGCGGAGGCGGGCGCCGTATTATGGGAGCGATTGGCTGGACGCCTGGGACTATCGAGTTGTTCCTGCGACGGTCTACATGTATTTCGCAAAGTATGCCCTCTCTGCGTGTTGTTACGTTTTTTTTTTTTTTGCATAGAACTAATCAAGAAAAAATCTAGTATCTTGCCGGCGCTGGCCTTCTCCCTCGACATGTTTTCCAAGACGGGCTCCAATTACGGCGTTAATGAGGTGCTGCTGGCGTCTGTTTTGGGGTCGGTTGTGTTTTCAGTGTTTGCTGCGCAGCCGCTGGTTATTGTTGGCGTGACTGGTACGTATCGTGATGCTCGCGAGATTTTGGGGGGGGGGGGGGGGGGGGTTGACCAACTGTGCGCTTGATGTGTTGGGCAATGTCCTGTGGTGTTTGTACGTATTAACAAAGACATGCGCTCCGAGGGTGACGGATCTTGGTCGGTTGCCTATACTTTTTCAATGGTGAATTTGGACATGGCCTCCTGGGCTGCGCGTCATCAGTATCCCCGTGTCAGAGTGCCTTGCTGCGACGTGTCCGACGTACCGACTTCGATCGACTCTTGCTGCATGTCCTCGGTCTATTTCGCACCCGTCAGCTCACCATTCGGCCTCTTGTCGTCGCATCGCCCGCTCCTCACCATATCGGCGGACTTGATCTGGGCTGCGCGTCCAGTGTCAGCAAGAGTTTCCAAGTCCCGGCGCCATGGGGTTGGGGGGGGGGAGGTGGGGGGGGGGGGGGGTGGGGGGGAATATGAATAAAGTGTGTGTGCTGATCGTACCAGGTCCTATTACCGTATTTAACTAGTTGGTGTTCATGATCCCATCTTTGGCGCATCGAGTAAACTAACTAACCCGCCCTTCAGCACTGTATACGACATTATGAAAGACACGGGCGTAAATTATATTGGCTTCATGGCCTGGATAGGCATGTATGTTCTCCTCGCTCTCCTCTTTCCTGCCAAAAAAGAAAAAAAAAAAAACTCACACGCATAGATGGTCCCTCATTCTGCATGTCCTCTTGGCTGTTACAAACTCGTGCAACTGGCTGCGCTGGGTCACCCGGTTCCCCTGCGACATCTTTGGCTTCTACGTCGCCTTCATCTACCTCCAGAAGGGCATCCAGGTGCTCGGCCGCCTCGGCGACGGGGCGCCTTTTTACCTGTCCATCATGGCGGCCCTGCTGGTCTTCATGGTGGCGTACGTGTGCGGCGAGCTGGGCGCCAGCAGCCTGTTCAGGCAGCCTGTGCGCGTGTTTCTCAAGGACTACGGCACGCCGCTGACCCTCATCTTCTTCACGGGCTTCGTGCACATCGGACGCATGGCCCGCGTCGAGTTGGAGAGGCTGCCGACGGGACTTGCCTTTGAGCCGACCAGCGGGAGGGCCTGGCTGGTTCGTTTTTGGGACCTGAGCGTGGGCGAAGTCTTTACCGCGCTGCCCTTTGCCATCTTGCTGACCGTCTTGTTCTGGTTCGACCACAATGGTTGGTTCGCTCCCTTGTTTCCCCTCCACCCTTTTTCCAAAGCATTCCCGAGCGTGACGCCCAGAGCTCAGAGCTAACCACGGGGTGGTAGTGTCGTCTCTCATCGCCCAGGGCAGCGAGTTCCCGCTCCGCAAACCCGCCGGCTTCCACTGGGACATCTTCCTGCTCGGCATCACCACTGGCGTCGCGGGCATCCTCGGCCTCCCGTTCCCCAACGGCCTCATCCCCCAGGCCCCCTTCCACACGGAATCTCTCTGCGTCACCAAGCCCGTCAAGCAGCTCGATGAAAAGGGCCAGGACAAGGGCGACTTCACCCTGGAGGCTACGCACGTCGTGGAGCAGCGCCTGTCCAACCTTGCCCAGGGCCTCCTGACGCTCGGCACCATGACGGGGCCCTTGCTCGTCGTCCTGCACCTCATCCCCCACGGCGTTCTGGCAGGCCTCTTCTTCGTCATGGGCGTCCAGGCCCTCGAGGCGAATGGCATCACCACCAAGCTCGTCTTCCTGGCGCGTGACGCCGACCTCACCCCTCCCGACGCGCCGTTGCGCAGCATCAAGCGCCGCTCCGCTGTGTGGCTCTTTGTCGCCATCGAGCTGCTTGCATTCGGGGCCACCTTTGCCATCACCCAGACCGTCGCGGCGGTCGGGTTCCCCGTCTTCATCTTCCTGTTGATTCCGCTACGCGCGCTCGTCCTGCCGACGGTATTTCGCCCCGAGGAACTGGCCGTGTTGGATGCGCCCACGGCGTCGGATTTCACCATGGAAGGAATCGGCGGCTCGTGGGGTGGCGCCGGGCCTGCGCCTCCCCCGGCGGATCGAAGCGGTCACGGGACGGCCGCCTCTAATCGTTCTTCTGGCTCGAGAGGGCCCCGGGACCGTGTCTTTGCGGGCCCCGGGGTTGCGAGGAGGAGTCGCGACGATTTGGCCGAGTTGGGGATGGGGAGGGTGCCGAGTGCGCGGAGTACGGCGATGACGAGCATGAGCGCGCAGCGGACGTCGACGAATTTGCCGACGGGGAGCCTTTCACAGCAGCGGTAGTTGGGACCTTTCTCTTCTTTTGTGGCGTCGTTAGCTTATGCTTTGGGTCTGTGATACCGGGTTAGATTCATAGTTGGCTGGGTAGTGCGTAGTTGGATATGTATTAACGTACATACGTACAAAGCAAGCATGAGGTGGAATAAACGCCTGATTCCCATTGACAGTATTTTCCCTCCCCGGGTCGCCATGCAAACGCCGTAATCCTAGTCCCATCTACTCATCATCGTCACTGTCCATGACAAATCCACCGCGTACCCTGGGTCTCCTGGTGACCACAACTTGTGTTGTCTCCTCTCCATCGTCGTCCTGCATTTCCGTCATCTTGCTTATTATGTCAACATCCATGTTGGCGTCGCCATCGCCATCATGGTCCTCTACACCGACTTTTCTTCTCTTCCTCGCCTCACCGTCACTCAAATCAACAGGCGTATCATCCGTATCGCTTTCCCTACCCTCCTGACTACTCAGTACCCTCCTTGCAAAACTCAGATCGTCCTCCTCCTCCTCGTCACTGATGTCCGACATCGCCGTCGACTTTCTCTTCTTGGGCGGTAAAATCGGCTCGCGCGCCGTCTCGGCCGCCTTCTTCGCACGGGCCGCAATCTCGCGCTCCCGTGCAAAGAAGGCCTCATCCTCGTCCGAGTCAAACTCATCGTCGCCATCACGCACATACAGTGCTGATTTGATCTTACGCGCCTTTTCAAGCTCCTTCTCCCGGCGCTTGCGGGCCTTTTCCTCGACAACAGAGTCGTCCAATTCCCCCCGCTTGCTCGCCGTGCGGCGTCTCCGGTTCTTCTTGGGCTTCTTCTTTTCGTCGACGACTTTGCGGGCCGTTGGCCCCCCGGCGGGGAAGAGCATCTCGTCGTCAAGGAAGCCGTCGTCGTCGGCATCCTCATCGTCGTCGAACGCAGCCTTCTTTTTGGGTGCTGCCTTGCGCTTCAGTTGGTGTTCTGCCAGGAAGCCGTCTTCAAAGGTGGGCGGGCTGAACTCTGCTTGGTTGATGAAGTGGATGGTGTCTTTGAGCTGGTCGGCTGATATGGTTTCGGGGATGATCCATATGCTCTCTGGGGTTTCTTCAGATGCTGGCCCCATAAGTTTCATGCCGGAGAGCTTCATGAGGAGACGGAGGTGTGCGTTCTTGAACATGGCTGTGCGGCGTTCGGTGCCGTCTGGTTTGACGGCTGCGTGCGAATTAGCTTTGAAGTCGACGGGTAGAGAGGTGGAAACATTTCATCTTACAGAATACAGGAGGCGTCTTTGGCTCCGTGTCTGTGATAACGGGATCATCTTGAAACAGGGCCTCAGCGTCGCGTTTAGCATCCGCGGCGGCAGACCATGCCCGACGTTCAGACTCAGCGTCTGACAACACCTGTCTTACCCAACTGATATGCTCGGTGCCGTTCTTGTCCAACAACGCACCTACTGCAATGGCAACTTGTTGGTCCCGCTCTTCCGTGTGCTTGAACTCCAGTTCGGCCGCGGGTTTCGGTTGGCTCTTGCTTGTCGTCTGTCTCTCATGTCCGTACTCCAAGAAGAATGCAGTGCTCTGGAGCTTGCTGAAGAGCATCTCGATGATGAGTTCCGGTCGTTCTTGTATCTTTTTGGTACATTTACGCAGAATCTGCTTCACAAGCTCCTCCCAGTCCTTGAACATGCTGGATGATTTTTCCAGCGCATTGGGCCCCTTGATCATGTTATACAACAGATGAATAATGTCAACACGGAAGAGCATGACGCTCATATCTTGCTTGAAGGCCAGGCGGTAAAAGTATCGATGAGCACGCTTCAACTGCGTGTCTGTCAAGTCTCGGTAGTACTTTGTGAACCGGATAAAGGTGTCGACGACGCCTTGGGGTGTAAATCGAGCAGAAAATTTATGGAAATCAAACTTGCGTTCTTTGGATGTGCGCTCAGCTGCGTCCTCGTCGTCGGCTGAATCATCCAGCACCGCTTCCTCTTCATCGCCGCCTTCCTTGGCCGCCTGTTTCTTCTTCCTGCGTGTCCGCTTCCTTGAACGGACTTGCATGTCCACATTCTGCTTCGAATACGACTCTAGAATTCGTAAAAAGTGGTGAACAAGTTCCGTAGAGGCATCTAGATAGTCAAATCCTTGGTCCTTATACGTCCTAATGATATTGGCAATGGCATCATGTGCCGACTCTTCGTAAAAGAGTCGGCTCAAAACGTTTTCTGCAATTTGCTGATCATCCTCGTTCGCCGACTCGGCCATCTCCTGAACTGTTAACAGAATCTGGGTAAAGCATCGCATCACCGCAGTTAACTCTGTCCAATCCTTCATGTCATAGCTCTCCTGTAATGCCCGACTCAACGTGATGAACATTTCCTGATTCAGCACACCGGCAACCAATTGAAAACTGCTAATGTCTGCAGACTCCTGGCTGTTGGGCTTCTTGGCCTTTCGACGAACCCGCTCTGCTTCCAGAAACCAAGCAACCAGGTAAAAGAATTGCCGGCGGTGATACTGAAGCAAGTGCGGCGCTTCTCGATCAATGGTCTTGCGAATATGTTGGAATAGCGGATTGAAGCCAGAGTCAAGAAACTCATTAACGAATTTGCGCAGCTGGTCGTTGGCACGAGCGTTGAGCTTGACAGGAGGGCCAAGATCCCTCTCATTTTGGTTGTCTTTTCGCCCTCGCCGTGGAGGCTTGAACTTCTTGATTTCGTCCATCTTCTGGTTGCGGATCGAGGAGTCCGCCAGCGCATCCTGTCCTGATATGGATGACATTTTACCACCATCTCGTTTAACCCAGATCATGGTTCCAAATCGATTATGGCGGGTGGCTCCTTTACGGTTATGCGACTGTAGCATGGCTGATTCTTTATTCATCAAGGCCGATAACTCGGTAGCCTTGGCCTTGTTCAGCTGCTGCTCATTCATAAAAAGCTTTTCGGAGTCAACACGCTTGACTAGGTGGTATATGATTTCCATAACAGTCGTGTCTTCGGTTCGGAAGTCCTCACCCATATTTGACGAGAGCATGAGCAGTACATGGAAAATATCTTGGTATGAGAATGCATCGATGATAGCCGACCGGGAGACTTGGGATTCATCGCCTTTGTATTTGCCGTTGGGAGGCGGCGTAATCGAGGCCATGTTCCGGAGAAAGAACAGAACAAGCTTGATGATGCCCTGGTCCCTTGCTGTTCGGTCGCCAATAGGAAGCGCCATGGCCGGCAGTGCTGCTCTGACAGCAGCATGTAAGATACGAGCGCCGTCAAAGTTGATGATTGCCCTCTTGTACTGGACCTGTGCAAGCTCCAAAACGGGCAGATGCCTGTGATGGTTTACCGTCATGCGCTCCTTATCCCAATCTATTGGCCAAGTCAATGGAACCATCAGCTCGAAGCAAGCCAGTGCGATTCTTGACCGAAACTTGTTGTCCATTGCGTTCTCAGGCCAAGTCCTGAGAATTGGGAGTAGGTCTCCCTCAATGAGGTTCGCCTCGTAAATACACCGTGCGACATCCATTCGGTTGGTTTTCTCGTCGTAGAATCGAATCCAGCGCTTCAGATCACGCAAAACTTCGAGCGCATCGTCACCGAGCTGATAATTGCCATCGTCTTCCGCACTTGTGCCACCGAGCTGCAAGGTATGAATTTGTCAGGACCTTTCCTTGGTAAATGCGGCCAAAATACAGGACATTTTACATACCGCAGACACCAGGCTGCCAATATGGGCTCGAACTTCAGGATGGACAATGTCCGCCGCGCTCTCCAGCGGCTCCATGCTGATGAACCTTGTCCGCGTGAAGCTGCCTTACAAAAAGAGACGCCGAAGTAATGGTGCAGTGCATATGGGCGATGCTGTTGAGTTCCAATGGGTGGACTCTGGTCTACGGGCACGCGTCTCGACGCGTCACTAGCTTAAGCGTGTAAAGTGACGCGGGCTGACAGCTGCCAACGGCTGGTGCTCGCTCGATGCTTATGTCAGCTGCCAATTCAACGCCCGCAAACGGGACCTTGCCAAAGAGCCGAGGTTACCCGAACCAGAACTGCCATCATCTTGACATCACCCCTCCGCCCTTTCTTTCTTTTAAGACCATTGTTTCTTCTTCACCACGAGGAAATTAAAAATGGTCGCCTCAATTGTACGAATGCGAATGCTGGGGACAGCGCGCCAAGTGCGCTCCTTCAGCTGTACCACGCGCCGAAGTGCCGCAGAAGTGAAAAGCCTGGGTGTTATTGGCGCCGGTCAAATGGTTCGTGTCAACCCATCATGTGAAATTCCCGGTTTGAAACTGCCCCCAAGACATGAATCAGCACGGACAAATGCTCCAAGCATAATCATTTAGAATTAAAACTGACGATAATCAATGGGCATGAATGCAGGGTCTGGGTATTGCCTTGGTTGCTGCTCAAAAAGCCCAGGTCCCCGTCACGCTGATTGATACATCCGACACGGCATTGAGCAAAGGACTCGCATTCGCAGGTATATTACAGTCCATACAGGCCTCTTACATACTAAAGTTTCAAGTCCATGCAACCCTCACCTGCTGACACCGATACGTTTTTGCGCAGATAAGCTTTTGGCAAAGGATGTGTCCAAGTCTCGGCTCACTCAGGAACAGGCCGACCAGGCCCGCGCCTTATTGAAGCCAAGCACCAAGATGGACGATCTCTCTGCTGTCGACTTTGTTATCGAAGCGGTTCCCGAAATTCCCAAGCTCAAGTTCGATATTTTTGGCAACCTCGCAAAGATATGCCCAAAGCACACTATTCTTGCGACAAACACGTCTTCTATCTCCATCACCAAAATCGCAGCCGCTACTACCGCCGACCCCACCGATACTTCAGCTTCGTCCCGCGTCGTTTCGACTCACTTCATGAACCCTGTGCCCGTGCAGAAGGGTGTCGAGATTATCAGTGGCCTGCAGACGAGCAAGGAAACACTCGAGACTGCCGTAGAGTTTTGCAAGAAACTCGGCAAGGTGACCTCGATATCTGCTGACACACCCGGGTTTCTGGCTAACCGCATTCTCATGCCATATATCAATGAGGCTGTCATCTGTCTCGAGACAGGTGTCGGAGACCGCGACTCCATTGACGCCATCATGAAGAACGGAACCAATGTTCCCATGGGGCCTCTCCAACTCGCTGACTTTATCGGACTTGACACCTGCCTGGCCATCATGAGGGTGTTGTATAACGAGACTGGCGATTCCAAGTATCGCCCCAGTGTTCTTCTGGGCAAGATGGTAGATGCAGGCTGGCTGGGCAAGAAGAGCGGCAAGGGCTTTTATGACTACTAAGCAGCCCGTGCAACTGACTACAAGCATGGATCAATTTCCCGGATTGTGTACAGCTACTCTCGTTAGACGGCGCTCCCCCCTAAAAAGTGATCATTTTTGAACCATGTATGTATTGGCATGATTTTAAGTTGTTGTGAGGGACTCGTCTACCGGTGAGACAGTGCTTGTTCATTCACAAAGTTAAATTCCTTTTACCACGTGCAGGGCGGATCCTTAGTTCGGTACACATGGTTTATTATCGATGGTCACACAAGATCCTGGATCTAACACGGCGGTAATATAGAATATCATTTTTTTAGGGGAGTCTTTTTTCAATATAAATAATAACACAAGTATAATACAAGTATCATGCGAGCATTACATCTAGAAACACCGTGTTTAGCCGTACCAAGCCAGAGAACTGTAAGATACCACGTAGTGCACCATGAAAGCATTATGATGCGTCAGAGACACGCTAGTAAGATTGGTGATAAAAATCACCAAAAATGCAGCCAAAACAGCAGCCAAATAACACAGCCTTGTTGATTTAGCCTCGTCCCGGAGGGGTTAATATACAATATAGTAAATAATGTCCGTAGCCGACGTTGGAAGGCCGCCACTGCCGCCAACTGCACGGTGGGAGGCTTGATTTGATTTACGCGGGAGATAACCTGTTTTTCGATAAGTTTCAGCCAGGCATCAAAATAGGGTTTGGGTGAGGCGGAGCTCGGACGTAGTTCCGGGAATGAGACACACCTTGGGAATAAGTCGGAAACAAGGACCCTGTCGAGGGCCATTGCGTCTTCACGCTACTCAGGCTGCCATGGGGACAGAGACACATGACATGACCGGGAGGCGGCCATCCGAACTCGAACGCTGGGCGATCCAATGCAGATCCAGTTTGGGCTAAATTGTCGAGTCAGTTCCGGAAGGGATGTTTCGTCATGCCCTCCGATATTTCCAGCACCCTGAACGTGGCTCCTGAGAAAGTCACCTACTACTTACAGTTCTCTTGCTCTCTAGCAATCTAGAAAATTACCATGAATAGCTTCAATCCAAGCTGCGGGGGGTGTGGGATAAACGCCCCGGAGGTGGCTGTAGCCCTAAAACACTAGCTGTTCAACAGAAATTAAGGGGCTGCAAAGAACAGGTTATTCTGAATCTATCGTCAACTACGCAAAGGAATCAAAATCAACCATGTCGATAGATGGCTTCAATCAAGGACTCATGCACGCACTGGTTTATGCCACCAGTAGCTACTGAGTCGTGGCTGACACCATCTGATGCCCCTGCGATGAGAGTACGTGGAATGCCATGAGATGGGTGAAGTCGGCGTGATTGGATCGACTTGCTCTGCGGCGAGTAAGAATGGAAGTCCTAAGCGACTGACTGCTTGTGCGCCCAGAACATGCATTTTGGGATATCTCTCTGGTTTCAGGTACCGAGCTCAGCGCCTTGACGGTGCTGGAACGGTACTGGACCAATGAGCGCAGGTGCATGTGTGGTAGTGATTCACTCTAATAAAAGCTTGCTGCCATCAAGTGGCTGATACATAGCGAGTATCAACGCTACATCCACCCAAGACGTGTGAGAATTCACGTCAAGTCGTGCAATCAGGAGAGACAGGTCTGCTCGCGGCAGGTAATCCGAGCAAAGAGAGATGGGCACAGCATTGGGCTCAAGGCAACTGCATTTCTTGACAACTGCAAGGTAGTATATATTGACAGGATATATGCTCCCTCCATGGAAGTGGACTGCTGCCCCTGACCTCTGATGGCATGTCAACCGATCCAATCGCCTGGTGAAACGTCGCTTGCGCCATGGACCTGGGCAGCCCTTGGGCCATCCGGGTTCCAACACTCCAGGAAGCTTGCTCGTCACATCACATCTCAGGCCGCCTGCCAGCTTCCGGGTTGTGTGCAACCACTCGCAGGGTCCATTTAAGCGCGACCTATGTACTCGGAGGCACGACACAGCCGATTATGGAGCGTCCTCTGGACAGATTCTAACTTGGGCCGCGAGAACTTGGGATTATAAACTAGCATAAGTGATGCGGTCCAAGTTTGCTCGATTTTTCTCGGTATTTGAACAAGTGAGCTAGCCTGAATAGTATTCCTCCACGGTCTTGTCCCATACAACCCTAACCCTGAACGGAATATCGGTTTTTATGCCAACTTCGGATGCGAATCTCTGTATTGAATGAATACGGAGTATAACGGAGAGAATTGCGTGCACCCCTGAAAAAAGGGGCGCTCGGCTCCACACATTATCTAGTTTCCGCTCGTTGTGTGGCCAAAATACCCAATACGTACGGGGTAGTTGGCTGTTATCCTTTATGACCAGACACCGTTGTGTGGGGTTCCTCTGGGTCTGCACACAGATGCAATGCTACCGAATCAGGCCAGATCAGACCAGTTGACCTGTCCGCGACCAAAGTGTTCCACTCAACTTAAACTTAGTCGCGTCTCGATTGCCGGCGGCGATTATGCGTAACATATACAATTATTATACTTTACACTGCACATGATATTTGGAGAGCAGCCACCCAGACGCGACGGTATTGGTCGACCCCAGGTACGATGAAACCACAGGGTACATACCTAGGCAGTCACGAGTCATTGCGGCGAGTCGTCGTCAACTTCCTTGGGAGGCTACCTGGAGTCAGGGCTGCCAGCATTGTTTCCCAATTCGGCGGTACCGCGCCGCGTTTTTTGCGGATGCGTTCCGTGTCCTGCCGTCCATGTCTGGTGGAATCCACGCCGCGTCAGCCACGGGGGCCTTGGCTTGGAAAGTATCTGGTATGCTGCCCAACCGCCAACGGCATGTTTGTCAACTACTCCGTACCACGTGTCGAACAACGCCCGCGACTCCCCATGCATCCAATGAGCTGTCCGACACAGGCATCCCACCAGCATGGCCAACTCCAACTGGTGTCTGGTCTATTGCAGTGTTCCTTTACTCGGTATTCCATTTACTATTTCACTCGAGCGGGTCGAGCTTCATAGTTACCACCAATTTCACCGCAGGACCCTGCTACTCCCTCCCCCTGTCGATGCGGTCGAAAGGAAGGGTGGCCACCAGAGCATCACCCACACACTCATTTTGAGATAGTTGCATTTGCACATGCACGGTCAATGCAGTTGAGCCCGTGGGCCATTGCATGCTTTGTGGCACCGCACCGCACATGCGCGGTTCGACGGGAACAAGTGTCTGGTTCTCATGTTGCATCTACTCAATGCGCATGCATACTGTAATTATTATGTGCGCACATGAATGTGCATACATGCCTGGTACACACACACACAGCCTCCCACACTTTTCCGCTCTTGCTCTAGACGATCGGCATGGTCCGAGAACCAAGGCGCTACCACGTATGTACAAGGCGTTGGGCCTTGATATTCCCGGTGATCCCTGCCATCATGGCCGAGAAAAAAAACCTGTTCGCGCTTAATCGTCAACTGGTGCCTTCAACACACCTTTCCCTGGCCTTGAAAACCCCGCCACAGCGCTACCCGTACGGCGGGGGCGTGAACAACTTGCCCCAGTGCCACTTTGGACCCTCAAGGTATGGCCAGGTGTGACATGGCAATAAGGGTCAAGGCTAAAATAAGATGATTGAATAAGGAGACTATATGACAATTAATAAAATCGTGTTTATTATATAGATAATTATTATAAAAAGTATAGTTTCTTTCTTATTAAGATTAATAAATAATAGTCAAGATGATTTTAAAAAAATTATTATAAGCACGCAGAACTCGACCTGTAACTCCTACAAGCTTCCCTGTCAGGTCGCCTATCATTAAACTTACCGTGTTGGACTGTGCTTTAGGAAGGTGAGGTTGCTACTATGCTATGTACCTAGGTATGTAGGTGGTGCGAGAGGGTTGCATAACTGGTGCACAAGAGTGACTCAACAGCTGCGAGCATAACGACTGGCACAACAGCTGCACAACAGGTCACGTATTGAGACGGAGGAGCATGTGATTCGCGACTGGGCTTCTTTCCACACGGGCCCTCAGCTCTGTCGTTCTTCAGTCAATGGCAAAACACCGTCATGTGGCACACATTCCACGATACGCCAGAGTATTAAGCATACGGCATGGAGCACCATCAACCCCACACCATGACTAGTTTCACACGCCCTCAGCTTCAATGTTCCAGTGGAACGTTCTGTTCTGTGCCACGCCATATCCGCCTCACTGACGTATCGACAGGTACCTCCATGTCTGGTCGGTGCTTTCTGGTCGATGACCGGCAGGCTTATCGTCTTCTCTACTTGCTAGGAACCCTTGGCATTTCGACATGGGGATAGGTTTGGTCGCCCATGCGAATATCAGTTGGTGACTCGTGCTTGGTGCCAACATTTGTCCACATCCTGGACCCTGGGCCACACTGACAATGTGATAGTTGTTCGTTACCGTGTTTATGACCGTCCGATCTTGGGAATTACATGGTGCTGCACCTAGCCGAAGAACAGGGCACTTTGAAGCCGTGCGCAACCCAATGAAACTGGGGATTTGTCGCCGATACGAAATCGAGATGCGCCCCAAGGCTGTGATTCCCGAAATTGGGGTCAAAAAATTGAGGTTAACTTTTCGACCCTGGTCAGTACATTCTCCACGCATTTATAGTGGGGATATTACTTTATACCGTCTCACAGTGATTTTTTTAGGCTTTTCCACTTTTATACACGAGGGGGTCAAATTTTAACCGCCTTTTTAAGCTAGGAAAGGCTTTCAAGTACTATTAAAGGTTATAGATAATTAAACCACTTAAATTACGCTATATTTAACCTATTATTTAAGATTAGCTTTTTATAATATCTCCTTATAATACCTAAGAGGGTTTAAGCTCTTAAATAACATATAATAAGTGGACTAATTACTAATAACTGTGATTTTTATAACTTTTATATAAGGCTTAAGTTAATAATCGATTAAAAAGCTTAAAAAAAGGCATTTAAAAGGCTATATTTATTAGCTTTCTTCTAGATCTTTAAGAATAATTTCTAGAACGTA